ACGGTGAAATCAGAGTTTCTAGTCTACAGAACTGGGCTCTTGTCCCAGGTTCTGCACAGAGAAGAGCCTCATCAAATAGATGTTGAATGCATGACCGAGCCCCATGGGTAATCAAGAGAGGGTTGGGGAGGACACTGGGGCAGCAAAGAAGAGTTCAGTGTTTTACATGTGGAGCCAGGGACGTGCCGATGCCATTTACAGTGTGAGCCTGCAGCCTGGGGAGACGGGGCTGGCCCTGCCCATGTGGGAGCTCTTGGTGACAGCCCAACCACAGGAGCGAATGGACTCTCCAAGGGAAAGCATGGTTTGCAGCCAGAGTTTTGATAAATAAACAAAATGTGTCCAGGCATCGTGGCTCACACCTGTACTCACAACACTTTGGGAGGCCATGGTAGGAGGATCCCTTGAGGCCAGGAGTTTGAGAACAGCCTGGGCAACCCCCACCTCCGTAAGAGTTCAGCAAAGTGGGCCATATGACTTCCATACTTCAGATAGGGAAACTGAGGCCCAGAGAAGTTGTTACAGGCCCCAGGTCATTCAGGCTGAAGTCTCTGAGTCAGGATTTAATGCCACTGATTTCAGTTTATTCTCCAAACTGTGAGTGTTGGGCAAAGATAAGTGGCCCAAATAGCATCATCCACGACCCATGACTAGGGCCGAAATAGACACTGGCCATGAGCTGATCCTGGGATGTAGCAAGACCCATCTCTACAAAAAAGTTTTAAAAAATACACTGTTTTTGTGTTTTCATTTCTTTCCAGGACCCACCTGCATGAGGATAAGAGATGCCTGAGTCTTTGAACATTCCATGCTCCAAAATGCTGAGAAAAGAGACAGCTGAGGAAAAACAGAGGCCATCTTCAAGCAGCTAAGGCTACCACATGGGAAACACAGGGGCTTTCTTTGCCCTGCCCCAGAGGCAGAGCCAGGGCTGCGGGCAAGTTCCAGGGAGGCTGTCTCCTCTCAGCAGAAGGATGAACTTTCTAAAGAATCATGCTGCTAATTGGTATTAACTGAGCAGCACCTAAGTGGACACATAGGTACTACAGTAATAGGGTATTGGGCGAGGGGGAGGGGGGTATATACATATATAATGAATGAGATGTGCACCATCTGGGGGATGGTCATGCTGGAGACTCAGACTTGTGGGGGGAGAGGGGGAAGGGCATTTATTGAAACCTTAAAATCTGTACCCCCTATAATATGCCAGAAAAAAAATAGTACAAAGACTTTCACAAAAAAAAAAAAAAAAAAAAAAAGAATCATGCGCTGGTCAGTAGGGGAGCCTGCCCGTCACGGCAGCACACGCAGAGGCCAGTGGGGGAAGGGCGTCCCTGCATTTGGTGGGGTGCTATGGTTTGAATGTGTCCCCTCCAAAATTCAGGTATTGCCAATGTGACAGTATTAAGAGGTAGGGCCTTGAAGAGGTGATTAGGCCATGAGGGCTCCTCCCTTGTGAACGGGATTAAAGCCCTCATAAAAGAGGCTCCACGTGGCGCCCAGTCTCTCGTCCTTCTGTCCTCTGCCATGTGAGGACACAGTACTCCTCCCTTCCGGAGGATGCAGCAGTGCGGAGCTATCTTGGAACCTGCCAGCACCTTGATCTTGGACTTCCCAGCCTCCAGAACTGTGAGAGATAAATTTCTGTTCTTTTTAAGTTACCTAGTCTCAGGTATTTTGTTATAGCAGGAGAAAATGGTCCAAGACATTAGGGGAACAGACCAAGTCACCTCCAAGAAACTTCCAACCCTGGGGCTCCAAGACTTTAAACCAGAGCTTGGTTGAGAGTTATCTGACGATGTTTTGGAATTCTTCTTACTCGAAAACACAAGCCATCTAGACTAACATATAGGAATACTGTTCTAGAAGCTATCCACCAGCCTCACGTGTGTGCTGGGCCAGGGCCTGGGTGTGAGTTTCCAGGACAGGGTTGGGGGAGGTGGGGACAGGGTCATCTGGTCCCTTGCTAGCCACGACCCAGCGACTGCTGTGGATGAGGGAAGTGGAGCACATTCACGCAAAAGGCCCTGATGTCACCCCCAGAGGACACGCAGCAGCCACACCCTGTCCCCGCCCCTCCTCCCAGACGAGCAGCAGCTGGCCTTCCCCACAGGAGGTGTCCGCCAAGCGCTCCCCTCTGGCTGACCCCACAGGCACACTCGGGATAACGCCGTCCCCCGCTCTCAGGAAGCAGGTCCCTGGCTGGCTGAGCTGCCAGACCTAAACCAGAGAATTGACAGATGAGGAAACTGAGGCCCAGGACCACAAAGCTAAGTAACGGTATAACAGCTTTAGAAACCAGTTATCCTGAACCCAGCACCTCTCATTCAAAAACCTGCAAACGCCTGCTCTTTGTCAGACACTGTGGGTCCCTGGAAATGCAAAGATAATTATCCTGGAGGCGGAGGAGAAAGACACTGAATGGAAAACTACAATGTGGCCGGGTGAGGTACACTCAAGGGCTCCCTGGAGAAGCAGGCCCTGCCTCCCGCTGACTATCTGGGCCCACGCCATTCCCATTTCCCTCTGGCGAGAGAACGCCCAGCCATGCGCAGGAAGAACTGTATGGAAAGGTAGGAAGCACAAAGGGAACCAGGTGCTGAGGACTTACCCACATGTCTAGGAACAGGCTAGGTGATGGGACCAATAGGGAGGAGTCCCAGCCACCTGCTGGCACTGGGCAGGTGTGACAGTGACCATCTGGCAGACCCAGCTGGTAAATGACAAAGCCCAGCTAGAAACAGTGGGGCAGAGGTCACAGGAAAGGGACCAGAGTTTCTGTTTCCTAAAAGCCCATTCTGCACACTGTTCCCTATCTCTGTAAGAGTTCAGCAAAGTGGGCCATATGACTTCCATACTTCAGATAGGGAAACTGAGGCCCAGAGAAATTGTTACAGGCCCCAGGTCATTCAGGCTGAAGTGTCTGAGTCAGGATTCAATGCCACTAATTTCAGTTTATTTCTCCAATCTGTGAGTGTTGGGCAAAGATAAGTGGCCCAAATAGCATCATCCACAACCCATGACTAGGGCCGAAACAGACACTGGCCATGAGCTGAGCTTGGGACAAAGGATGCCCAGCACGGGGCTGCAGCAATGTGACCCTGCCACCAGGGCAGAACTGAGGTCACATTGGGCCAGATCAGGCTGGAGAGCTAGGGCTGCAGGCTCGGGACTGGGAATGAGGACCTCAGGAGAATCAGAGGGAGGGACACCTGGCCCCACTCACACCAACGCCTGGAGCAGCGATTGGGAGCAGTTGGGCTGAGAACAGCCCCTCTTCTTCCCCTCCCTCCAGCCTAGTCAAAACTGCGTTTATGGCTCTGCCTTTTCCCTTTGGCTTGTGCACACCTTCCTGTACAGGTCAGGGTGACACACAGTAATACAGGCTCCCTACAGGTGAGGACATGGGGACTCCCAGGGGTCCCATGGCTGGTTTGGGTAGATTGGAACCTGGCCTGGAGCCCAAGCTGTCAACTCCTGTCCCATCTTGGTTCCTCCCTGCCTATACCCCTGGCTCCTTTCTGGGAGTGACTGGACAGTGGCCTGGGTTACAGTCCACCACCTCCATCCAGCTCAGACACCACGAAGGGAGCTAGCTGCCTGGCGGCGTCTGGGACACTAGGCCCTCAGCGCACAGCCGCAGAGCAAGCACCTGCAGCCCTCCAGAGGCTGGGGAGTCCCGGCATCTAGCTAGCGTCCTCTGGTCACCAACAGACTGGAGCCTTGCCAAGGGGGCCCGGAGCCACGGCTTCTGCACCCCGGCCAGCCACAGAGGCCCCTGACCCTCAGCTGGAAAGCAGAACCACTCTCTAGAAGGAGGCGGTGCCACACCCACATCTGTGCCACTGCCCCACCCTGAAAACACTGAGTAACGAAAAGGACTGGATTTGAACAGCGTTGTTGGACAGTGTTCCACAGAGCACTCTCCCATACAGCCCCCATCCCATCCCCACACCAGCCAGCAAAGTTGGAACAAAGCCCCCATGTTCCAGTTGAGGAGACTGAGGCCCAGAAAGGTCACAGGGCTGGCCAAAGACACACAAGAGGAAAGGTCATGGCCAAGACTCGACCCCAGATTCTCTGACTCTGAGCTCTGGTCTTCGTCAATCTCTTGCCTGCTGCCCAGATGTGAATCTATCTGTGCTCCTCCGGCCAAAGGACCGGGATGGTTTCCAGATTCACATGCACATGAGAAAAAACATCTGGATATTTCAGGATTACCCAGGTCCACGTTGGAGCAGGTCAGCCTGAAGGCTGGGAGACGGGAGGCTCACTGTCACGAGAAGATGCCTCAGATCTGTTCACTCCTGCCTGACCCTCCTGGCCCAGGGTGAACCGTCCTCCCAGCGTCAGCCAAACTGGAAGCGCACCCCAGAGGCCTGGCCAATGTTTCTCTGGGTGCCAAGTCACTCCTCGGCAGCAAGGAACAGAGGCCACCTCGGCCACATCAGACTTCTATCTAGAAAATGACACCTCCCAGCCTGGCATCCAGCAGGGGTACAGCCTATACCATTCAGAAATGCAGACTCCCTGGTGGCGTTTGATGCAGAGTATGTGTGCGCGTGCGTGTGCGTGTGTGCGCGCGTGTGTGTGCATCTATGTGCGTGTAGGGGAAGCACGAGGCAGGTCTGCCTCCCGGAGGGGACTGATTCAGCAGCTCCATTCCGGAGAGGACCCGCCAAGAGACAGAAGCCGCAAAGCATCTCATCAAGGCTCACACATTGCCATGATGCTAACTGAGGATCCTGAACAAGACAGCCACGCTGGTAACGAAGCCACATATTTGCCTCTGGGATCCCCAAATGAAGATAATGTCACCGTTGTTCTAAAGCCACAGAGCAGCTTCACAATCCTCTCTCCCATCAGGGTCCAAACCGGAAGAGAAGAGCCACAATCTTGGACACCATCTTATAAAATCACCCGGGCAGCTGCTTGGGGGTGGGTTTTGGGGGTGGGGATGGGCTCGGCCACTGCATGGGGGTGAGGGTGGGGACACCTACCTGGACTTCACGTGTGTGGTAGGCGATGATCAGACCCAAAAGGATGAGGGTAGACAGACTGATAAGGCATTTCAGGGCCAACGAAAACATGGAATCCTGCAGGAAAAACGGAAAGAGAGAATTAGGGCCAGGAAAGAAGCATCTCACTTTACACTGAGGCTGCGTCCAGGGGAGGACTGGAGACAAGGGAGGGACTGTCACCAGCCCCTCCTGGGAGCAGGCTATAGCACAAAGTCAGCCAGAGCCACAGGAGAGCCTCGGACCGGGCTGTCCCAGCAGCCGTCCCTGGGCCTGTTTTCTAGTGCTAAATCACATTCGCATTCCCGGGACGAACCCTACTTGGGCATGATGTATTGTGTTTGTTATACATGGCCAGATTCAGTGTGCTGATGTGTTATTCAAAATTTTTGCTTCCACGCTCATAAGTCATATGAACATAATTCTTTTTTGTGCCGCTATCATATGGTCTGGGCATCAATATTATGCCAGTTTGGCCTCTGTTTTCTCTTAACAAATCTGAACCAGAGGATTTTCGAGGTAGAATGAATTAGGAATTCAGGAATGAATTAGAACGTCCTGGCAGCCGCTCTCACTGCCTGGCTTAGGCAGAGGGGAGGCGAGGGAGGCAAAGGCCACAGAGCAGCTACTGGGGAGAGAAGGGGGAGGGCACAGGAGAAGAGAGGTGTCCCAGGCAGGAGAAGGGGACCTCGGGGTCCCTCCTACTAGGCTAGGGGGTTGGGTGGGCCCCATGACTTTCACTGCAGCCTTCCAGCCCTGGGGCACTCAGAGACAGACCTGTAGCATATGGTTAGGAGCATGACCTCTGACATAGGCCAAACCCTGACATAGCTGCTTAGAGCTACGTGACCTTGGGCTGCTCGCTCCACCTCTCTGCACTTGGGTGGCTCATGTGTCAGCCAGGGGTAATATCAGTACCTACCTCATGGGGCTGTTGTGAAAATAAAGAAGTCACTATATGTAAAGTGCCTAGAATAGCGCCTGGCCAGGTGAGTGTAAGCTACTATTATCATTTACGCTGCCTTCCCTGCAGATCAGGGCTTCTGGGTTGGGACTTGCTCTCCTACGCATCTGGAAGCCCAGAGGTAGGACGGCTCCAGTCCCAAAGGAGGACAGTAACACGGCCCCGAGTACAGGCAGCAGATGAGATCTGGGAAGCATTTCCAAGCACTTACCACGTGGCGGCCCCGGGCTCGGTCCCGAGAGGTGCACACCACATGAGAAACAGCCCTGTCCTCAAGGAGCTGGCAGTGAGAACGATGCCTGAGTTCTGTAAGCGCCTTACAGTTTATTAATACACGGTGGCTTAACATATTTGTTCTCGTCCACCCTCATAACAGCCCCTGGCCTTTATCCCAACCTTACGGACATTACAGGCGGAGGCCCAGTGGGGTGAATGGCTTGTGCCAGAGTTCAAAGCCAAGGGCTCTGACTCCCAGCCCACAGCACTGCCCACAAGCCCTCAGGCCCACTCTCCAATGGGAAACAGGGTAGAAACATGGGAAATGTCCATTTAAATAGACTTAACTGATATCTTAAAGCAACAATGGAAGGTAGGATATGATTAATTGCCAAGTGAAACCTACAGGAGAGTTAGGGGACCTCGAGGGAGGAAGATGTCAGTCTAGACGGGCCAGAAAAAGCTTTCAGAGGTAGATGTGAGAGGGGGCAGAGATCTGCAGAGTGAGGAGGTGGTGTCCAGTGTGGCGACCATGAGAGTCAGAGGAGGGCTTGGAACTTGAACCCGGGACTTCCAGATGCGCAAGTCCAAGCCTCAGCCACCCTCAGTGGGGGGAGACAGAATGAGAGCTCTCCCTGGCGTCTGTCAATCTCACCATTCGTTTCTGTGATACAGTTATTGAGACCTACTTTGTGCCAGGCGCTGGGGATATAAAGGAGAACTAATGAAGTTCATTCATTTATTCACTCTTTCACAACAATTTCGACCACTTCTCATTCATTGAGCGCCTAGTGGATATCCAACAATGTGCTAGATGCTGTAGGAGATACAGCGAGGCCCCCTGCCTGCCAGAAGCTTTCAGTCTGGCTTATTACACAAACCTCGACTTTCTACACAGTGTGGGGTGGCCCGGCTATGGGGAAAGGTCTCCACTCTGCCCTACCCACAAGACGGTCTAAACATAAGCCAGTCTTCCTTTAGCCTCTTCCGTGTTCGCTTACTCAGCACACGTGTATGGGGGTGTCTAGGGGGAGCTGGTGCTGCACTTGTCCAATGTGAGCACAGAGACAGAGTTCTGGCCCTCAGGAAGATTTCAATCTTTATAAGCACTGCTTGATGCCTGGAATGCCCCAATCGCAAGACCTAGATGGGCTGTAAAGGGTAAGCAGTGAATTCAGCGGTGCTCAGACTGTTTTAGGATAAGACAAACCCCCCTGTAGGAATGAACTGGGGATAGCTCACGAAGGTTTTCAGGCAGAAATGACCATGCCTTCCTTGTCAACGGGGTCTGAAAGCATCTGGGGAGCATCACCCCTCCTCTAAGAAGGATTTGAGATCAGCTGCACATTTCAACCTCTGATTTATTTCTTTTGGCAGAAATTGAAATCAGAATCCAAGCCTGTTTCCATCATTTTCACAGGGAGAGGGGAAGGGGTAGGGGCCAGATGCCATCTCTTCTCCTTTGAGCCTCTTCCTTTTGTCCTAACACTCAAAGCCTTTGCATTAACAGGCAAGTCCCACCTGCTTCTCGGTTTGGCCAGTGCAACCTCCTTAGCCAGCTCCAGCCCCACGGGGGACCCAGCTGTGTCCTGGAGCAATGGGGGACTCTGGATACTTCACAGATGTCCTTGCATTCGCCATCATCGCACATCAATAAAAAAGTAAACCACCAACCATTTCTAACAGCTGGGAAACATGTTGAAGAAGTCTGGCTGGACTAGAAATGTTAAATGTTGAATTGTCATCTTTTCTTTGCCTCCTGCATGCCCGTGAAGCTTGACATGGATGTGGTTCTTGGGGCGACGGCAGCAACATGAGACTGCCACACACCACATGGGGGGGAACGCCTGCCACACCCACGGTGCCCCCACTCACTCCTGTCCCAGGGCCAAAATGGGACTCGTGGAGCTGGAGGGAGTCCTATGGTCAACTGGTCAACCCTTCTCCCCTGGGACTCAGAGCTCTTCAACACCAGCGTAATAATCCTTAACACACAGGAATGCTTAGGAATTCCATCTCATTTGACAGGAGTCATTTTAAGCCATTTATTCCTAAATGCCCAAAAACATTCAAGTGGCTAAGTAAATTTGAGACCAGCCAGTGATAGAACACCACACAGCCACTAAAAAACACTCCTGTAGAGAATATTTGAAGACACAAAAAAAGGTTGATGATATGATATTAAGTGAAAAGTTCAGACCCCAAAACTATATATGTAGTATATTTCCAATTATTTAATTTTTTTTTTACTCTTTTTAATGTAGAAAAAGACTGTGAAAATATATCAAATATCCTGAAGGACTGGGGTGTTTTTCTTATTGTCATTTTGCTTTTCTCCTCAAAATGTCTACAGTGAGAATATACTAGTTTTTATTGAAAAAAGTGTTTTGGTTTTTTTTGTTTTCAATCTGAGCCCTGGATGTCTAGAAAGGGGCACCCATGTGGATGGGGTGAGTCACCTTTATTTGTGACGTGGCGAGCGCCTTGCCTTGGTGGCCGTGGGAAACACACGCACCTCCAGCCCATCTCCTCGATGGGGATGAGCACGTGAGACCCCAGCTGTCCAGAGACCATTTCCTTTACTCACTGCCCATTTCCTACAAAATACTGTAAAATGCCATGGTACCCAGATCACAGCACAAGATCACATGCTCCTGCCAAGGGGAGACTGGGGCCCTGTGTCACCCTGGGGCTGGGTGACCCACCTCAGACAACTCTATCGCTTCACCTGACTCTCGGTGTACGGAATCCATGGCGAGATACTCACTCACACTGTGTTACCGCCACACCCCGTTAGAAGCTGAGTACAAGTGCTTAATAAGAGCTTCTTGAAACTACTTAATAACCATACTTTTCTCTTTACCTAACATTTACTGTGTCCCGATTAGGTACCAGCTTACAGACCAGGTCTTCTGCACACTTTACCTCCAATCCCCACCCTGCACGAAGGCCATAATGTCTCCATTTTACTGATGAAAAAACTGAGGATCAGACAGGTGAATTGACTTTTCCAAGCTCACATAGTTGCTTCTTGCCGGATTTGTCCATATGTTATGCTTTCCCCTGTCTTCAAAATGACCCAGGCTCCCATGTGGGATAATGAGTCCCTGTCATCCTAGCAGAGTCTGGCTGCTCCTATCAGGGGTGCTGCAGAGGAGATTCCTAGCAGGGGAGAAGGTCGAACTGAATTCCTGAGAGCTGCCTCCATCCATGGGTCCCTGTTCCGCTCTGGGCCAGAAGCCACCCTTCACAGATCTGTGATTTCTCAGTGGGGACAAGAATCTGTAATTAGGCACTACGACATGGGCCTACCGTGCAAGGGGGCCATCATGAACCCACTTTTACAGAGGAGGAAACTAAGGCTTTGAGAAGTTAGGTAACTTGTCCAAAGGGCACGGCCAGCAAATGGCAATGCCAGGATTTGCCGAAGGCAGGTTTTGCACCCGGACCTGATGGCTTCCGGGTCTCGTGCCCAGCCCAGGCCCCAACACCCCGCCTGCTCCTGCAGTCATGGCTTGCTGGCCCTCCGAGTTCTGCAGGGAGGCTTCTCAGAGCTGCTCCAGCCCGTCCTCTCCCGAGGCTGTGCAGAGGGTAATGAAGTGTGTTCCCTGGCTTCTGAGCCAGCCATATAAATTGCTCTCCTGGCCTGCCTTGTAGCTTCCAGAGACAGGCCAGAATTGTAATGATGACGGTAGATCTTCCCAGAGACTTTAAAGTTCTAAATGTGTTTTATTGTTTGGAACATTGCAAAATACAGAAAGCTATGCTTACAGGCAGAGTCCTGGAGGGACACTGAGCCGAAGTGAAATACTAGCTTAACTGAGAAAAGGTGTGCAAGCTCCTTCCCCAACCAAGCTGATACCCCTAGAGAGAGTGTGTGTGTGTTTGTATGCATATG